GGAGGCAGGATGTGCCCACCAGGGGACCTCTGCCAGGGCACAGCCCTCCCAGGCTTCACAGGAGTGGAGCTGACTTGGGTGCACTGAGCCTCAGGGGCCAGGGACCTGACATAGCTCCCCCCACAGCCCAGACCAGGCCTCCTAGGACTTCTGGTCATGGTTTTCTGCTACGGGGGGCTTCCTTTGCCATCAGTTCCCTTCAGTCAACCATGGACTGTGGACTTTCCCATGAGGAAGATGGTACCAAGCGTCAGATTTACCCAGCCCATGTGCCCTCCCCCTTCCCACGGCACCATGCCCGCCACCCCCTGAACTTGGCAGGATGACCACCTTCCTTTTACAGCTGAGGAAACACCCCAGGGAGAATGGCTCAGGCGGCAGCTCCCTGGGGCAGGGCTGTCCTCAGGCTGCCCACCTCCCCTTGGCCTGCACCCTTGTTCCCAGCGGCGGCGCCCTCTTCAGGGACTCATGTGCTGGCAGCTGCCTGGCCCTGGGCATGGCTCGGTGGCTGTCAGTAGCTTGGAGTAGGTGCTTTCCGGCCTCATGGACCCCAACCCAAGCCCAGGCTGCAGAATCGGGCACCCTCAAAAACAGGATCCACCGGGGTAAACCTGCAGACGAGTAAAACTGGGGGGCGGGGAGTGGTGAGGCTCAGAGAGACAAGCCCCTGGGCTCCTAGCAGCCCCGGGGCAGAAGAAAGCTGTGGTTTCACGGTCCACAGCTCAGCACAGAGTCAGGCCTCGGAGACGCTTCTAATCCTGCCCTGCCTGGCTCACCCAGTCTCGAATTTTCTCACTGAACATCTCCCCGTCCTGGGGGGCCTTGGGGAGCCTCCAGAGCCCCCAGCCACAGTTACTCACCAATGGGACTCTGAGCCAGAAGTCTCCTGCGTGGAGGCCAAGGGGGACTCTGGGCCTCACCGGCACCTGTTCCCCTGCCTGGTGCACAATGGCACGGTGAGGGGTGACCTGTGTCCCACGGAGAACAGCCACGCAAATTCTGGCCACGCACCAGGGCTGAGGCCAGTGGAGCCTGAGGACCCAGATGGGAGCACCTGCCGTGCCCTTCCCTGTCCGCTGTGTGGGGTGGTCCCTCCTCTGTAAAAGGGGCCATTGAGGTCCTCGCCTCGTGGATGGCTGGCACCAGGCTCGGTTCTGCAAGCCCTCTTGCTTTCACTGAAACACACCAGCCGTTCCTGAGTCACAGCCCCCCCCCAGTCCCCACGGCATCTGTTTCCCATGTACCCCGTGTTGGCGTTTGGCTCACAAAATCCTTGCAGCTGACACCCAGACACATCCGCTGCCTTCTCCCATTGTCCCTTCAGGAGGGGTTCACAAGGGATGTGGCTTGAGCCCAGCTGCCTGCGGGCACAAAGGAGGGTGGGCAGGGGAAGAACTGGGGAACCCAGGGTTCTGCTCCAGAAAACAGGACTCAAATAAGGGCTGATGGGGAACTCCCTGACTCCCACGGGCCCACATGAGTGCTGGGCAGGGGCCCGGAGTGAGGACAAGTCACGTTTTTGCATTGAGATGTGGCCTAGGAAGTAAGAGACCCACCCAGGTTCAATTCCTGACTCCAAAACTGTGTGACTTGGGTGAGTTACTTAAATTCTGTGAACTTCAGTTTCCAGCCAATAATTGAGAATAAAGGCACCTAATGGGAAGACTACGGCTGTCTTTATTCTGATTTGCCACGTGACAGGAAGGACTGGTCTGTAGTGAGTGGCAAAAAGCAGAGAAAACTGAATTGGGGTCCCGAGCGCCATAGTCTTTCCCACTCTAGTTCTCTAAGGATAGCAAGGCTCGGAGAGGTTTAGCAACTTCTCTAAGGCCACACATAAGATCTTGAGGTTTCAACCTGATCTGTGCAAAACACTCCCAGTGAACCTGACTTGGTGCTTGAGAGGCACTGTCTCAGAATAATAGTCATGAGGATCCAGAAAAAGAAATGTCTCCTGTCTTCACTGACCAATACATGAGAGACTGCAGGAATTTCCACAGAAACATCAACACTGTAGAGTCTGAGCTGTGCATTCACAGGCTGTCTAGGAGAACTCCCCAGAAGTTCTCCTAGAACCTGCGTGTGAGCAGGAGCTAAGAGTATTGTGTGGAAAGTTGGCCTCTGTGGCCTTTAGCAGATCACTACGTTCCGCATGGTTGCCTGGCAAATCCCATCCCCTACCTCTTGCAGATTCAAGCTCAGCTTCCTGGATGTGGTCTTCAAGGCCTCTGGACTCAGTCATCCTCTGTGTTTGTGGCCGCTGCCATCTGGCCTGGGAGGTCCACAGAGTAGGCACAGACATCAGCATCTCTCCGAAGCCCACCAGGGAAAGGGGATGATGTTTTCTGAGCAAATACAAGGCCAGGCCCCACCAGGCACTCAGCGCGTTCCACATGCCCTCCCATCAGGGCATGACCTCAGTGATAGAATTAGCCTTGCTCTGCAGATCAACATGCTGAGGTCAAAAGATCAAGCAATCTGCCAAAAGTCACACATAAAGTGACAGATGAAGAAGGGAGGGGGTGAAGGAAGGGTGCCGAGGACTTCCTGGTCTTTAGCCCCTGGTCCCAAGAGGCATCTGTAGTGGGTGGGCACGCGTGGATGCCCACACATCTCCAACTCTTGGGGAGCCCCATCCGGACAGAGTAAGGTGGAATCCCGTGAACCATCTAACCACAACCACAGCTTCTAGGGGTGCAGGGGGGCTGCTATCCCACCCTGCCCCCACCACCATGGCCCCAGCCCCACCCTGCTGCAGCTCTCCCCAAGCTTTGTAAGCACAGTGTCTGCTCCGCAGCAACCCAGGTAGGGCAAGGCAGGGCTCAGCTAGCCTGGGCCTGAGCGAAAGCTGCAGGTGGCAGAGAACTCAGGACTCCTGGATCTGCTCAAAGCACAGGGCAGCTGCAAAGCACTTTCCTGGATTTTTGCTCCCTTGAATAGAACCTGGAAAAGGAAGCCCTCAGGGTATAACAGAAGTATCAACCAAACACTGTGATAGATATCAGAGTAGTTACCGAACACCCGCTGGGCACAGGCCCTGACCTGGATTCCTTGTCCTTACATATGGCATCAACTCCAAGAGAAACTGAGGTTCTGTTTGACCAGATAGGGCGCTAGCACCAGAGAAGGGCCAGGATGGACCAGCTCCGACTCCTGTGGGCACAGATTAGCCATGTGGGCTGGAGGTGGGTGGGATTGGGCTGGAGGTCTGCGGGGTTGAATGCCCTTCTCTGGACTTGCTGGGTCCCTTCCTGCAACCTCCTAGGCATCTCCTCGTGGCAGCTCTGGTTCCCTTCTCTGGGAAGCCTTTCTTGACCTCCACAAGCCTTGGGGCCACTCCTGTCACAGCATGTCTCTGTGGGTTCCCTCCATCTGCTCAGGTCTGTTTCCACAGTGGAGTGGATGGGCGAAGGAGAAGGCAGAAGCTCTGCATGCTTCAGAGAACCCAGCTTCTGAGTCCAATTTCTGCCACAAGCCCTTGGGTGGAGGGTCACTTTCAGGCCTGTAAAACGGGGCATCTGGCCCCATTTTCAGCCCTGGTGAGCATCAGGAAATAGAACCACTGATAAAGAAGAATCTACTCGTGGAACAAGATCCTGGAGGGCAGGATCTCCCCCAAGGACCACCCACCTAGGTACCAGTGGTCTGGTAGGGCTGGAGCACCTAGAAGAGGGAGAGATTTGGAGAAGATTTGCTCCAACCACAGATGTAAAAGAATACTGTCACCTCGATTTGGGACAGCACTTACAGAAACCCTGACAACATGCAAACTATCCTGGACATAGCTTTGTGGGTAGATTGGGCTCACACCTCTGCCTCTTATAAACAGTGTGACTTGGGATATGCCATATAACCTTCCTGAGCCTCAAGTTCCCCAACCATAAATGGGGACCTAACTAGCCTCAGCCAATTTGGGGGGCTGATTTTTACTTATATTAATTGCCCCGATGCCAATCTCAGTTTCTCATCTGAAAACCAGGGACTGGCAGTCCGGGAGATGATGCAGGATGGCCGTGGTGTGGGGGAACCCCCTCTGCCGCCGCCCCAGGGCCAATGAAGGGTCATTTCCTTCCGCGTTCAGCTGCCGTCAGTCACCTCTCCCGTCCGCCCCAGCTTAAGTGCGG